TGGTCAAAATGATCCTTCTTGTTGCATACCATTAAAGAGTTATTATCATTGTTCTGCATGCTATCAATTCACAGCAAACAAATTTGAATTTCCGTAAACGGTGAATCGATGAAATTCATCCGCTAATAGTAATTATTTGCTTATAGTATTCATTGAAATCATTTTGCCTAAATAATTGAGAAATGAAATCACGAAAAAAATCAGTAAGTGGTAGTAAGTCATATAAGGGAAAGAAAACAAATGTGAGAAGTCGTAAAAAAATGGTTGAATTGTTTGCAAAAAAACTTGAAGCCTGAATTTTTATCAAAAAGATAAAATTTTGCTTTCTTTGAATAACAAAATGATTTTTTTGAATAATAAAGTATTTATTTTCCAATTTTATCTTTATCGATTATTTATTTGATTTTCAAATTTGGATTTTTTTTGGTATGTAAATGGATAAAAGATGCTAATTCTCCTTCTGAATTTTTCAACAAAACTTTTATTGGCATAACAGTTATCGTCGTATTGTCAGTAGAATTGCATATACTTCCATTTCTGTGAACTGTTTGATGAAATATTCTCGTATATTTAGTTACTTGTCATTATTTCACAATTTCTTCTTTCCAAATTATAAAATAACATATTTAAGAATTGCAACGGACAATTTACACTTTATGTATCCGGAAGATAATGTTTTAATAATTTTTTCTAAAATCAACAATTTTTCAAAGTATTTTAAATCTTTAATATTTTCTGCTAATTTTTGAAGAAATTATATTTGAACTTTTGCATTTTAAATTCGATTTTGTCTATATCCAACAAGATAATGTTTTGAATGTTTTTTCGGTTTGTTTTTTATACAATGTGTTTTTATACCGAAAATTTTTAAAATTTTATAAAAATGCACTATTTTTTATGTTAAAATAAAATAAATTATTTAAAATAAAGTGCACAGATTCAGATTGATTTTTATCAAAATCTGTACTTTTTAAAAAAACACCACATGTTGACAAATCTTTCCTTGAAAGAGAAATTTATTATTCACGAATGAAGTGTTGAGCATTTTAAAATAATACATTTTACTAATTAAAATACATAAAAATAATGACAAATAAGAAAAAAAGGAAATCCAGAAAATTTCTGGGAAAACTCATTTCAACAACAGTAAAATCATTCGTTCCTTTCTGCAGGTGAGAAATAAATTATGCAAATGTAAGTATATGTACAGTGAGGAGATAGCAATTTATTATTCAGAAAATGGCGAAGGAAGAAACAGTCGATAAGGTAAAATTAAAACCTGAATTTGGTTCTGATACGAGATTTCAACAAAGCATTTGCAGATATATCGAGTACTGCACAGTTCATAATTTTTTTAAAATGTCAATCAGTGGTGTTGATTTTTGCATTGATAATTTTTCTTTGGCAATTTTTCCTGCTGATAATGGCTCACCATCCAATGGGTCCATTTCCTCAAATGGTATCTCACTATCGAATTTGATATACTCTAAAATTTTGAATAATTCAATCAAAGTGAAAATATAAGGTAATGATAGAAAATTTTGTAAATAGCTTTGAGTCTTACCGCCAAAATCAAATAATGATTATTATTGTTTATTATTATTATCATTATCATTATCATTACAAAAATGCTAACAGTTTGTCCATGCATGAGGATAATTGCTTCAGGGTATCGGATAACAAAACCTATGAAATTCATGCGAAATACTATCCGATATTTGTATATTTTAAATTGCTGTACTTATGAAAAAAATACCGAAAGAAGTAGTACAAAAAGTAAAATTTATTAGATGAACCAAAATTACATTGCTGGAAACTGCGTTTTTAAAATTTTTTGATAGCAAATTTCTTGGAATCCTTAACAACCAGTTTTTCAATATTTTTAAAACATGTAAGATAAAAAAGATAACGACAGTGAAACTGGCACATTCACTAATTTAAATTACTTAAAAATACTGTGATTTATTAGGTACAAAATATTAGTTTAGAAGCAAAATCTAGGAAAATATTTTTTATAGTTTTGAAATATGTTTTAGCTTTATTCAAGCACAACTACCTCTGAATCAGTGATACAATCAACATTTCCTCAAAATCTGTTCTTGACAAATTTATGTGAACCAATCAAATTGTACAGATAATTCCATTGTTGATTTTTTCTTGAAAGCATGATTTCAAAAAATTTATTAGTAATTAATATCTTTTAATTAAGCTTATTGAAACCAAAAAAGAAACTTATGTGTTCACACTTTTCATGAAATGCTATTTGAAGCTTTTCATGTCTAGCCTCATTAAATGTATAAAGCCAATGTTCATACTTTTTCTTGATATTAGTGCTTCCCAATAAACAATCTTTTGTAAGAGAAGAAAGAAACTAACCGAGCAGTTCAAGTCCGCCATCATGATTTTTATCGAATGAATCAAATATTGACTGGAAATTGAAACGAGGTTTTAAGGCATATCGTTCAACCAACATTTTTTCCACCTCTTTGACATCCAATTTTAAGTCGAAGTTCTCATCAAATTCCTGCAATTCTTTCTCATTTTAATTCAATTATTTATTTTATTATGGTCCTGAATTCTTAATTACTTATTGTTAATGTTAAATGAATCAATAAGGTAAATTTCCTTTTCTGAAAACTTTCATTAAATATAACTTTTTTGAAATACAAAAATAGATTTTAATTTTTTTTTGCATGTACAAATCTATTTCTACTGCATGCATAATCCTTGAATTTTTGAGCAATATATTGCGTAGAATCTTCGAAATATTAATAAACTTTCAAACTTTTAATTAAAATTTTTTTATTTAATTCTCCCAAGATGACTATCAGTGATAAGAATCGGACATATGAAATCAAACAATCATTCTATGCATCCAAAATTAAAACGCAATTTTGGGTGAAATGGCAAGCTTATTTTTCATATTTCACCTCAAAATTTCATATATTTTACTTTTACCACAACGAAAAAATTCATTGATTTTTTTCCTAAAATAGACTTTCCATAATTTAAATTAAGAGATTATTAATTTCAATTTCGAGAATTTTCAGATGACTACAAATTGTAATTGCATTGTATTTAATTTATTAGCAAATATTAATTTAAAAAAATTTAGATGAGTAAAGAGATATATTAGTACTTCATAAATTTTGCCAAAATATTGCGCACGTCGCTCATCAATTTCCTGTTGTTTTACATCTTCTGCAGCGTCATACTCATTACGTGAAATGTATCCATCACCTATCAATTATTAAACTTTAATTAAAAAAGTGAGCTATATTTAAGTATACTTTGTCCTATCTATGCGACATAAAAGTTTTTTACTGCTGGAGTTTATTACTGCTAAAAGTTTACTGCTGCCAAAATGGTTTTGCTGTATTACTCTCACATCT